TTGTTTTACACTGAAATCTTGATAACCTTGATTTATGTTTCAAACACTCTTAATTTGATGATTAACTCGAATTTTCCTAAATTTTATGAAGTGGCTTCCAAACCTTGAATATTTCTTTAAAAGCTTGCAAACTATTTTGTAAACTATGTTTTATAAAGGTATTTTGTTATCCTTGTACTGTTTGAAAGACTACGGTCTTAGAGGTTATATGAACATATGTTTCTTGATTCGTTTGGAAGATAACGGACTGGAAAAGTATGGGATTATTTTGCCCTTAATTCATTTGAAAGACAATGGACTTAGTGACCATGTGGATATTTGACACGTTGACAAAGCAAGATTGTTATATGATGACATTTAGAAAAGCTAGACTCGATTTATCATTACGCTTGGAAAAGTGGTGTTGATTTATGGATATGCATGGAAAGGCGAGTTTTGTAAAACATTTGATAACTATTTATTTGTATATATTTTGAAAGTGTATTTTGTTAAATACTCTTTCCTATTAGCTTGTTCCCCCTCCCTGTATTAACTCACGGAATTATTTATAACTCGTACATGTAAGATGCACTTGTTATTTTAGATCAATAGATTGGCTAGCTTGTTGTCCTTTGGAGATGAGCTACTTCTACAGTCAATGCTGGGAGGTGATCATCATGACATCTAGTAAGCTGAAGCCCTTTTACACTGAGTTGTACTCTGCAGGTTCAGTTTGGTCTTTTATATTGACTATTATGAAATATGAATTGTTTATGACATGTAATAATTGAGATTATGAACAATTGTCATGAGATGGCCTATGCTTGTATTTTCACATAGGATGATCTATACTTGGGTTATATTTTATGTTGCTTCCACAGTATGAGCATGACAAAGTGCAGACTAACATGGTATTTTCTAATATATAATGTAATCATGTTAATACTTACTTGGCATATGATTCCATGGTGATGATTCCCAGGAGGTGCACAGGGTTATTGATTTATTTGTTCATCATTAGGCTTGCATGGGTTGAGAGGGTCACTCCTATTAATACCCTTGTGTCGATCATGATCCCAATTTTAGGTCGTGATAGAAACAATTAAAAGGGTTTTGGACAACTTTTGTGCATGTTTTGGTGAAACGATAAGCATAGAAAAATCTGCTTTTTGTTGCTTTAAAAATGTCCTTAAAGAAAGCATAGATAATTCGGGGGCATGTTCTTGCTTCTCTTACTTAGAGGATATGCGGAAATATCTAGGTGTTCCTCTTATTCAAGGTAGGAAGAGTCTATAAATTTATAAATATCTTGTGGATAAGTTGCATAGTCGATTGAATGCATTGAAGGAGTCATGTCTCTCATTAGTAGGTAGACTTACTTTAGTCAAGTTTGTGCTTACCATTATATCGCTTTACATTATGCAAATGGTTTCTATTACTTTGGATGTTTGTGCTTACTATTATATTGCTTTACATTATGCAAACAATTTCTATTACTTTGGATGTTTGTAATAAAATCAAGTCCCTAGATAGAAGTTTTCTATGGAAATGGGATGTTGTTAGATTTATCATGCACATGCACGTATTGTTAACAAGTAATATAATAGAAAGTAAAATTCATTCTCACGGAGAATTACCCAAATCTTTTAATAGATACTAAAATTAACATAACTTAATCTTATCCAAACAACAAAATTTAAAGATATTGAAAATTAATGAAACTGAAACTAAAACAAAAAAAAATAGCAATTTAACTAGAATCAATCAACCAAAAGTTTAGAACTACAATATCCCCTCAATACTTCATCTGAATCTCTTCTATTCTCTCTTTACTTACTAGATAGGCTCGAGTTGTTAACCTAGAGCTCTAATATATTTATAAATCTCTTTCGATGTTTTTATAAAAATATCTTCCTTAACCAACTTATTATATTCCTATGTAAATTGAAATTACGAAAAACTCATTAAAATTAGACTTTAATTATGGCTACATATGACACGTAAGTATATGTCTACCTTACATGCTATTCAAATCGATTATCCTATGCAACTGATATTGAATATATGCTATTTCATCCGTGGCTTACTTTAAACTCCTTTTTCCAGTTCCATTTAGGTTTTTAAATCAATCTAATTGATGATCAAGCAATTAAATGCATTAAGAATAGGATCGAAATAAACAACTTGAACATTATCAATTATAAACAAGAAAGAATATTAAATATTTAAACTATGCATTGGATTCAATTGTGATTCTAGATTAAAAAATTTAGTCCCCCATAAGTAGTAAAAACATCATTCAAAAAAAAATAACCATCAAAACTGAACAAGAAAGTATAAATATAACAAAAAAAAAAACTCCATGATTTGTCAAGTCGTTGATCTGTAATCTTCCTTATTTTCCTTACTTTCTTGTTAGCTTAAATGCTTCCTTTTTTTTTTTAAAAAAAAAAGCGTTTCTTAAATTCCTTGTTAAACATGCTCTGAAATATGGGTTAAATAGAGCTTGAATACATGTCAAAATAGAAGTTCGGTGGCATGAAAACTCCTCTTTGACTTGCAAGCGCCACAGCCCTCCTTCCTTGGGCGTCGTGGCGCCATGCTCTCAGTATTATTTGTTTTCAAATTTTGCTTTTGGGTGTCAGGACACTGCCTCCTTGGTGGACGTGCCACTGAAGCCTTTGGTTTGCTGAAGTGTACATCCCTTATTGGGGTGCCGGGGTGCCCTATGCTCTGTTTCACCAATTCTGCTCTACTGCACTACTTCGAGTTGTGGCACAATTTTCTCTTTTTTTTTAGGCTGAATTGAGAAAAGTAATAAACATGAAAGTTACAGTCCTATTTTATAGTTTTTCAATAGCTTAAGAATCACATCAATTAAATTTTTATAGTAAAAAATATACTTGAAACATCGACCATGTGCGGTGAAGGTCTGCATCTTAAATGTATTCTTCTTCATAAATTATCAATCTTTCCATAGCACATCTACAAAAACAACTTACTAACTTAAATAATAACTAAATTTAAAGTAAAATATTATAAAATAACTTAAAATAATTAATCCTAACATAATTAACTTAAATAAAATAAATGACTAAAAATAACTAATACTTAAATTAAATTTCAAGAACTTAAACAAAATACATCTAAAATTATGAAAAAATAACTCTATAAAACAGAGTTAACAGGGGACACCAATAGCAGGAAGGTACATTTAATTAGAAGGAGCAAAATATGTAGACCCAAGAAAGAAGGAGGTATGGGCTTTCGGCGATTGCGCTTGATGAATGACGCATTTATGCTAAAAGTATGGTGGCAGATGTTGACAAAGCCTGAGGCAGTATGGTTGAAAATTTTGTCTAGTAAATACAATTTCAGCTCCTTGGTATTCTCAGTTAACACACACAGGAGTGGCAGCTCATCCTTATGGTCTTCAATGTGTCGACTTTGGCATGAATTTAAGAAACATGTAAGGTGGGCTATTGGTGATGGCTTAAATACAAAATTTTGGTCAGAAATCTGGGTAGATGACATTTGAGAACCAATATGTTAGAGAATTTACTACGCCAGAAGGAGAATGGGAAATGGACCGTTTAACGGAGGTGTGCCACCCGAGGATGTTGTTGCAGCAAATAGCAAGTTTGTTACCACCCTCCCGTTCATATTGTCCAGATGTACCATATTGGGCGCATTCCTCATTAGGCTGTTTCACATTGAGCTGGACGTACGACCAATTGAGGAAGGCTTCTGTTTTGAGTAATGCAGTCTATGATGATGAATGGAACTTAGTCTGGCAATCGCAAGAATCCCAATGTATATGTTTGTTTCTTTTTTAATGTCTCCATAATAAAATTCTTACAAATCATGAGAGGGTGCGTTGCCGACTGTCAAATATTGCAACTTGTTCTCAATGCAGGTAGGAAGAAGAAACAATCTTACATTTGCTTCGTGATTGCCCAATCGTAAGTTCACTATGGATCCGTCTGCTACCTCAGAATGATGTGGAAAACCTCTTCTCTTTATCTATGGATGAGTGGTTCTCCATTAATCTCAGAAGTCGTAAGGTATCTGCTCATGATGTTCCCTGGAGAATTATTTTTGGAGCAGTTTAGTATTGGAACTGCTCATGACTACGCGTAGTTGCGGGAAAATTATTTTATTTGAATGATTGTTAATTTTAATATATAAATATATATCTTACGATATGTGCTACTATGAATATACTATAAAATCATTCACAATATTTATATATTAGTAATTAATATTAATTAAATATATTTTATTCATATTAATCATACCGTTGCTTATAAAAGGATTAAGGCTCCCAAGAGTTTGCTATATACATAGCTAATAGCATGGAATATAATACGGTAAAACATCAGGTTAGCACTTAAGCATTTTATATAATAATAAGTGTATATATCTTCTTATCAAAAGCTAGTTTTAAATCCCCATCTTAGAAAATTATACCTAATAAAAAATAAAATTAAGTATGAAAATGGAGTTTTTCCATCATTTCACTTATCATAAGATAATTATACTATGCATAGAATAAGCAAACATTTCAAACGTATTACTTAATCTTATTATTTTATTTTATTTAATCAAGCATACCTCTTTTATGTTACACATTTTTCCCTTTCATTTTTTCTTTTCTTAAAATTTTAAAAATAATAGTATGTCATAAATATTCTTTAATATAACATATAATATATTTAAATAAATATATAAGCATATTACACTTACCATATAGAAATAAAATAATTGGAAGAAAATCAATTTTAACATTTATATAATTAATATGAAAAGACTAAACTGAATTTTAACATTTACATTATAATTAATTAGCATTAAGTTAGAAATTTACAAGAAAAAGTTGGGGACAATTATATTACTTTGTGGGGGCAATTAATTTATTAAAGAGATATAAACTACATAACATTATATATATATATATATATATATATGTTCAATAAAAAGAAAAGAAAAAAGATCCATATATATAAAAATTATTATACCAAACTTTGTATATTTTTTTTTTTTTTTGTATAAGCAAAGATTCAGTAAGCTACACAAACAGCAGATATTTCAACACAGTATTAATCAGTAATAGCAATGGCACGTTTTCAATGCCTTATAGTTTTCTGTTTTCTTTTAATTTAGTGTAATGGAGAATTAAGCCCCTCTTGAGAAGAAAGTGAATGGAGAGGCTGGTGTCTCTTGGAACCGAAAGATGGCGTTTTCCTGAAGGAGGGCCTTTTGTTAAGATGCTGTAGAGTCCTCTTGGCATAAATTTCCTGAACCAGTGGTGAAGCTCTTTCCTTGATCTTGAGAATGCTGAAGAAGAGAAGCCGGTAACATACAAGGATGAACACCACTATACTCAAATCCCACCACTTGGAACGATCTACTGGGACCCCAAAATATTTTCTAATGATTTCCTCGCCTGTCAGTTTCCGATCACCAGGTAGTAAAGGGTCGAATTCAAGGCCAATGAAGTCGTTCTTGTAGGCACCCTGCATAATTAGATTCATCAACGTGATCACTTCCTTGTTATTTTATTCTAGGATTTTGTTGCATCAATCCGGGTGCTAAGCTTATCATCAGTTATTATAATCCGGGTCTTGCCTGCTTTGGTTGTGTTGTCGGAGAAACATTTTTTAGCTGTAATTAAGGTCAAATTTGTCATTATATTATGGGTCAATGTTAAATTTATTACTATAGTTTAATTTTATTGAATTTTGTCATTATACATTCAATTTCATTTATTTTTACATACAAAATAATGAATTTGGTAAAAATTTGCCAGTTGTATTAATAAAATATTTCATTAAATATCCTAATTCCGTTACTTTTTTTTTTGTCTAAATTCAATAAAATTGAAAGTATAATGACAACATTCAATAAAATTGGCTGAGTCAAAAAAAAAATTCAATAAAATCAAAGTAACGATGATAAAATTCAATACTGAACCATAGCATAGTAGTGAATTTGATCGTATTCAATATTCATAAGTTTCAAGATTCAATTTCATCCTTATGCATTTAAGTATCAATTTTTTTCTTCTAATTTTCTCCTTGTGTATGTATATATTTGTCAAAAAAGACAATAAATGTCCTGAAAAGATAGTATATACTTCTCTCGTCCAATTTTAGCCTAAGGTATTTTTGTCAAAAAGGTCGTATGATATAACCTTTAGATAAGCATTATTTAGGAACATGCAAAAGTAGTTATCTTGATGAGAAATGATTAGAGGATAAGTAATTGCACATTAATGAAATATACCTGAAGTGCCCATGAACTAAAAGTGATATATGAAATCGGGTAGCGCCAAAATATCTTAGGAAGATCAGGCAGCAACCTAAAGAACCCAGATGTCATCATTATAATTCCCTGCACAAACAACAGCAATATGTAAACAATGGTAGCAAAAACATCAAATGGAAACAAATCCTCAATTACTTGTTTTCTCACGTACAATTATGCCGGCTCCTGTCACAATTCCCATCAGGTAATTCGGAACCAATGAAGCTACCACCATCATCAGACTCTCAATCACAGTGATGCTGAAAAAGATATTGAGGCAGAAGAACACATAATGCGAAAATTCGGATCGAAATTTCACCAGGTAAAAAGTTATAGTCCCGGTGATAAGTGAAATTGCAACCAAAAATGGAAATGAAGAGAAGAAATTAGAGAGGGTATAAGCTGCAACTCCATAATATCCATTGAGCCTTTCTTTATTGAAAACCTGTTCCAAAAAATTGGAAATGCAGATATCAGAAGCTGTAATGTAACATGCCAATGTTAATACTTTATTTAAGTCAACTGACTTAAAAAAGTTAAAACAGACTGCTTACCTTCATTTCTTCAACGAAGGAAGGAAAGCCTCCGATAGACATAAAGGTCATGAAACCTGTAATAAATGCACCACAGGCTACCCGCGCGAGAATTGCAGTATTTCCATAGCCAACATTATAGAAGACGGTTCCAACACAAATAGATACAAGTATATATATCACTATCCTAGCCCAGTAATATCCTGCATCTCTACACATGTTGACAAATGATCGTTTTGTCAATGTTGTAAGTTGCTTCAACCATCTTGCTTGACTTCCCTTCTGAATTTCTTCCTCAAGTCCTTCCTGCAAAACATAAATTTTTTCAGGCAGCGAATTACATTTTAGCAATTAGCGTGATAGGAGTGATTGATCTCAGGGAATATGTTGAAATTTGTGTTTGTTTTAACCATTGAATGCAAGTGATCAACAAGATTCTCAGTGGTGATCAAATATCCATGGATACCCATGTCACTAAAAAATTTAAGCAGTTTTTGGTTTGGCAAATCAAAGAACAAGACCGAAAAGCTATAGTTTTGATTGCTTACAATTTTAGAGATTTCTTGAATCCTAGCTCGGGCCGTTTTTGCGTACTTTGAGCGCCTGTACTTTTCAACAAGGGCAGCCTTGATCTTTGCTGTTGCCATATCCAAGAAAGGGTCTGATGATGTTGGTTTATCCTGTAATAATGCAACAGAAGATTATTTGTGACAATAGTTACCCTTTTTATCCAAGAAAACACATACGCGTGAAATTCTACAAACGGTTTGAACATTACTTGCAATCTTAATTCCTAACACAGCAGAAAAGTATTATGTTCTATGAGACATGCTTCACAGACAACCTGTTATGCTGGGCAAGTCAGATATTTAAAAGGTTTATTCAAGCATTCCAAACTGAAGAGCCAAGTTCTTTGACAAGAATTATTTTAGCATATGCCTGCTGGTGTTTGCCAAAGAAATACAGTATCCAAGTTCTTCAAGTGTACTCGAAATGTCTTGGATAAAAATTAGAAAAAAGAAATGAAAACAATGCTTCAGCTTTCAAGGAACTAGTTATTATTGAGTAGCATATGGAATTGGTGTTGAGCGATACATACGCGCAGTCTTTGAGAACCTTTCAATGTGGCCGTTACGGTGTCAAAGTCTGAATTTATACATCGGAGGAAGTGATCAGAAGGATTTCTTCTACTTGGGCATGGAAAGCCAGCCTCAGCAAAGAACTGTGAAAATCAATATTGAAAAAATTACATTACAAGAACGTCAAACTTATGTAAGTCGTTCATGAAAATCACATGAAATGCCTTTTGTTTATACCTCAACAGCCATCCTTGCCTCTCCAAAATAAACAGTTTCACCAGTAGATAATAAGAAAAGGTCATCAAACAGCGCAAAAACCTCACTACTTGGCTGGTGAACAGAGGAGATAACTGTCCTCCCATCGCGAGCAATGTTTCTGAGAGATTGAACTACAAAGAAAGCCGAGGCACTGTCAAGGCCACTAGTAGGTTCATCCAGGAACAATATTTTTGGCATTGTGATGATTTCAAGTGCTATGCTAAGTCTCTTCTTCTCCCCACCACTTATTCCCCTTAAATGCCAATTCCCAATCACTGTATCAGCACATTCTTGGAGACCCATTTCCATAATTGTTCCCTCCACAATGTCTTTCACTTCCTCTTTGGACAAGTTATCTGGAAGCCTTAACTGAGCTGAGTAGCTTACAGTTTCTCTCACTGTGAGAGTTCCCAACATCACATCCTCCTGAGTCACATAAGCCTGAAATTTCCATATGCATCAAATTAAGTGTCAACATAAAGAGTGAGTGAAAAATATTTGCTCTCCAATTTAATTATTTGAATTTGTTTCTGAAAGCCTTAAGAGAAGAAAAAAACTTACAACACCACCATAGTCTAGTCTCTTCTTCTTCCCATTTAGAAGAATATTCCCGGTCATGACCACATTTCTGGCGAGTCTACCTGTACCAAGATCAAGGTACTAAAATGGTTAACAGAAAAAGTAATTTAACAGTGCTGATATTAAATGTGTTTACCAAGTATTGCATCACTAAAAGAATCAATTTTACAAGGCTTTTGATTTCCTTAGAGGAGACAGTAACGAAGTCAAACTTTTATGTTTGAACAGTGAAAATAAGAAATTCAATGTTTGTAAAAGTGAAATTATAATTTTTTTAAAAAAATTAAACAAATAAAATTATAAAATTTAAAATAAAATAAAAAACAAAGAAGACTAATTAAACATTGAATGACTAATTTTGGGTTCAAATATGTATGAGTTGAAGACTTCATTTAACTTATTCAACATCACACTCACGTGGGTGAGGGTGACCATTCACATTTTAGTTGTCGGCATGAAAGGTAGATTTCCTGTGGAATTGACACCAAGTTAATACTAACTGCTAACTGGAATAATAATATTATAATTATGAAATGAAAGGTCCCACTTTGAGAACTATTCCATTGATGTCGATTGTTATGTTCTTTTTTAATATATATAAAAAATAAGTATTTCTTTTCAAAGAGCTGAATTTGTACTTTATTTTTTAAAAATTGAAAAAATTAAAGACTATAATTGACAAAAAAAAAGAGAGGAGAAATTCTATAAACTTTGGTGAAAATAAATGCTTTCTGTATTCCAAAAACAAAAATTTGACGGGATAATGTGCCAAACTTGGGAGGTATAATACAAATTTCACGAGAGTTTGGTTGACTTGGAAAGGCGTATCACATGAAAATGAGCACACCTGTCATGAATATAGGGCTCCACTTTGTTAAGAGACGGACTTTGCTAAATTAAAGGGGTCCCTCTGCAGATGGCAGTTCGTAGTTAGCTATCTTTTTGGACTGGCAACTAATTAATGAGGGAAATTAATTTCTTCTCTCTACCATGCAACTTGCTGCAAACACCAGCCCATGCTTTTCTGCCACACTGTTCTATTTAATTAGGTTAACCAACAAAGTAATGGTATTGAATTTATATTTTCACATAAAGGATTGGTTTTATTATTATTATTATTATTATTATTATTGTAAAACCACAGAATTTCTACAGTGTCAAAAATCTTTAAAGATTTATATGTTTGGTAAAGACCTAATTCCTGCATATGTATGGACTGTCAATGTTAGATCTAATGTGTGTTTCTATTTACTGACATACTGTCAAGGTATAATAAATGTGGTAATCACCCCTTCTGTTCATGTTACCCCTTCAAAAACTAAAGTATATTGATATTAAAATGAAAATTAGAATTATTTAAATAACTAAACTACAATAATTATTTTAAAAAGGGTAAATTTTAGCATTATATGTGAAGGTAATTTGTCTTGGAGCTCTCAAGGCACTTGTTAGGGAACCACTTCTTTGTTCCTAATCAATTTTCCTTCTTTTTTTTTGTTTTCCTTTGATGTCAATAATTCTTTGTTTTTCCTTTTGATATTGCTAATCAATTTTGTTGCAAACCCCAAAAGGCTTGAAAAGGAATTTATACTAGGTGGTCAGGCTTGTTGTTACAAGACACATGAGTGCTCCAACAAATAGAAAGCAACCCTATCCAAAAAGAGAGAGGGAACAAACATTTGCCTAGAATAGCAACAACAAAACTTCTAGTAAACTAACCGTTTCTCATATTTTATTTCTATTAATTAGTATTTAGTTAAATGATAATAATATATACCTATTTGATAAAAATGAAAATCATCTTTGTTTTATGCATATAATATTCACGAAAAAAAACTGGAAGAAAGGGAGAGAGCAAAGTAAACCTGCAAGAGAGTCAAGAAGTGTGGATTTTCCAGAGCCAGATGGACCCATAATAGCCATGATCCTTCCAGGCTCAGCATATCCACAAAGTCCTTGAAGCAACCTTTTCGTTGGTTTATTAGCAAAGTTTGGCAACACCACCGTGAGATCCTGCCAAACCAAGTAAACACCCCTGACTTCTCCCTCAGCACCGCCGCCAGCAGCACCTTTCTGACTGCAGCTCGCCACCTCTATCTCCATGGCAGATCACTGGCTGAGGAAATCCGTGGCTGAGCAAACTGGGAAAAGAGGAAGAGAGAAGAGAAGAAGAAGAACGTGACAATACGCCCATCTACACTTAGAGAGTTGTTATTGGCCTGTTAGTGATTGAACGAACGATCACCAAACAACTAACCATTAATGCGGCTCCTGTGAATTGAGGCTCATACCAATAGCATGGGACAGAGAGAGAAATAAAAATTATAGCTAAAAGAAAGAAAAAGAGATTAATGGGCTGCTTTCAAACAGATCAGAGTCATATGGGTGGCAAATGAATGAAATAAATGAGTGTGGATGGAATGACACTAGATGGTACTAGAAGTAGCATTCATGACTGATAGTTACTGGTTCCTTCTTTATTTCAATTTTACTAAACCAGGGTTTTTTTCATATTATAACAATCCTACACTATATTTCTATTTTTTATATGTATTTCTATTAAAATACTATTTCATATTGTCTGTAATTTAAGGAAATATTTTTTATTTTAAATTTTTTTGTGAAAAAATTTTATAATTTTAATATTGATATCTAGTTTTTTTTTTAAAAAAATAAGAATATTGATATCTAATTCTTTAAATGTAAAAAAAAACAAAAATCAATATTCGCAGATAAAAAAATGTAAGAATTTAAGGTGTTTAAGATTTTTTGTTTTTGGATATCAAATTAAGATTTACAAAAAAAAAAGTATTAGGCCCAAAAGGAAGAGTTTTAAAAAGAGAATTTATAAGTGTTTAAGAAATTAAACATGTTTTAAATTAATATTTAGGTATAATGCTTAAAAAATATTTAAACTATTCAAGAAACTCAAATAAGTCATTATATTTTTATTTTTGGTTAAATAAGTCTTTATGACTAATGATGTTTAACAACTAATTAATTGCCATTAGTTAAATGTAACTTATCATTTTATACTCACGTGGCACTGACATGACATTAACATGAATAGTAAAAATACCATATGGTAATGTCATCATGTCATATTAGTATATCATGTCGTCATTAATTATAACCAATGGCAAAACTAGGATTTCATGTTTGAGGGCGAAGATAATGTCTGTAAAATAATTATACTAGAATATCAATGTTTGACAAAAATATAAAGTAATTTTTAAAAAATCATGTAAAAATTACACAAATAACTCCAATTAAGTTTTAAGTACAAAATAAAGATATTTTTTTAACAATTATGGCATACTAAGATTGGACATCTTGTGAAACAAAAAAATAATTATTGTAAGAGAAAAACTATAAAATTCTAAAAAAGGTAAAGGTATATTATGAAATTTTAAAACTTTTGAGAGACCCCTACTAGTCTCTATTCCCTTTGACACTAATTATAACATGTCAACACGTCGGCATCACATGACATAGAATGATAAGTGACATTTTAACTAATAACAATTAGTAATAAAAGTTTATTTGATCAAAAATAAAAATATAAAAGTTTAATTAAACGCAAATAAAAGAATAAGAAATTATTTGAATTTTTATAAATAGTTTATGAATTGTTTTTAGAATATTATGTCTAATTTTTATGATAACATAAATCAAATAATAATAATAATAATAATAGGTTTTCATATCTCAAACCAATAACTTATACTGTTTATATTTGATATACTAACAATGTATAACTTTTATACATTGTCAGCTCACCAAATATCATCACCTTATTAACAAGATAAAAATAAAAATCTTTAAACACTTAAACCTAAATATTAAAAAGTTTTTAATAATTAATTAAAGAAAAAATTTCTTTTTTCTCTCTCCAACTTTCTCACAACTTTTTCATTTTTTCAATCTCTCTCTAGTTCCATCTCCATCATTCTCTTCTCTCTTTCTTCTTCTTCTTTCATTAAAATTAAAAATTAAAATATTTTCACTTTTCCCTAAAACCTCATTCGCCTTCTTTTCTTGTTCTTCAACAAGCATCCAAACTAAAATCCTACTAAATAGAGTGCTATTGAAACCTTAAGAAAGAGAAAGAGTGATGAGTTTGGTATGGAGATTTTTTTTTTGTTGAAAGAAAGAGAGAGAAAAACAAGAAAATAATTCTTTTATTGGTTAGCATTGTAACTAGATTGGTCAGCCTGGGATAGAAGAATCCTTCATTAAGTTGTGACAGTATTATCTTTGGAGGTAGAATCAGTGTTACAAAAATTTTGTCACAACTTCTATTAGAATTTGAATTTGATAATAAGCTGATGTTAGTTAATTACATTTACCATTTTATCATTTACTTTATAATCCAAAATCAAACTAAAGTAACACCCTAATTTATTTATTTGAGAAAAAACAATGGGTGTTATCACATTATAATCCTAAATCAAATGTTGAAATCACTTAAAAAATATATCTCTAAAATTAACAAGTAAAAATAATCTTGAAATCTTTTGAAGTTGAACAATTTCGCTAAACCTAATTTTTATGAAAGAAGAAGAAGGGAAGAAGGAGATGATGGAGTTAGAGAGTGATAAAAAAGAGGAGCAATAAAATAAAGTTGTGAAGAGTGAGAAAATTTGTTGTATTTAATTAATAATTAAAAACTTTTAAATATTTAAGTTTAAGTCCTAAAAATTTTTACAACCACAGTATTCCCACTTTTGCAAATAAAAGTAAATTTTCTCAATCCTAAAGATTTGATTATTATTCGCTACTCCTAAAAGTTGGAAATATGTCTTATTGGATAATTAGTCAGCTAGTAACTGCTCGAGTCTTTTTCTTCTAATTTCCATTGTTTTGTAGAGAGGTTTTCTCTTTATTCACTCTTCAAATGCCGGACTCCTCACTCTTTTTCTTTTTGTTTTTTTTTTCTTTTTTATCTTTACGACTTCATGTTCATTTTTTATTTGAAAGTTACTTCATGTTCATTTTTATCTGGACAGCAGTCAACCACGAGATTTTTTACCCTTTTCGGCAAAATCAACCATTTTATTTTATAATTTTAAAAAAAGAGAAATTCGAACCAAATTTTTACATAAAGTCATATATATCCCTATTATTGAATAATATTCCTTTCCTTTCAAGTTAAATGTTCATTTTCCTTTTTTAATTATCTCCATATAATATTTACTTTCTCAAAATAGAATGAAGCTAGATTTTCAATACTTTTCATAGAAACACTAACATTAAGAGGTTCTCTTTACTTGAAGGGTAAAATTTATTGAGTAAAGAGCAAAATACTTGTTTCTTAAAATTTAGAATCTTTTGGAAAATGGATTTTCTGATGGAGGAAATAATTGTTTTGCCCAAAGTTTTCTAAGTTTTCAAATCCGAACAAAATTAAAATAGTGACATAAGTAAAATATAGGAGAAAATTATATAATATTTCACAGTCCAACCAATTAATTTATAGTAGTAACAAGTAAGATATTTGTATTAATACATAATTTGTTTAGTCTCCGTTTGATTGATATTTTATTTTTAATTCTTTTGATAAAAAATAAATATTAAAAAACCCGACAAATAATAAAAGATAAAAGCTATAATACTTTACAAAAATAGCTTAAACTATTTAAAAAATTTTAAATAAATTTTTATTTTTATATTACGTTTAATAAAGATTTTATATTTTTATTTTAAGTCAAATAGGCGATTATGACAAATAGTTGAATAACTATTGTTAGTTAAAACATACTTGTTATTTTTATGCCATGTGATGTTGACATAATAAGCTAACATGTCATAGTAAATAGTGACATAACATTAAAACTTGTTCACATGACATTTTTCACTATTCACATTAATGTTATGTTAGTGTCATGTTAATATAAAATGACAAGTGATATTTTAATTAATGATAGTTAATAAACCATTAATCATAAATATTTATTTGATTCAAAATAAAAGTATATGAATTTGATTAAACGTAATTAAAAAAACTATAAAAAATTTGACTTAGAGCCTGTTTGGCCTAGCTTTTTTCTAGTTTAAAGCTATTATGAAGCTTTTATGAAAAATAATAACTTTTAGAATTAAGTTGAAGTTGTTTGGTAAATTTTTTTTTATAAGTTCTTTTTTATAAGTTATAATTTTGGTTAAAATTATCGTAAATGGTATTTTTTTTGAGAGAATTATATTATAATTATTTTTAATAGATGAGGATATTTTTAAAACAAAAATAAAAATTTTCTTGTATTTTTAAAAAAATAGAAGAAAAAGCTCCTGATAGGAGCTTTTCCCTAAAGCTCTTTTTTTAAAAATTTTATTCTTTAAAAAAAAGTTACCTTTTTTTTAAAGAGTTTTTCAAAATTTATATTTGATCTGACTTTTACTTTTAAGTGATAGATAAGTTGAAAAAAGGTCAGACCAAACAAGCACTTAAAACAATACATTTTAAAATGTACTATTAAAAATATTTTAAATAACATTTTTTTATATTTTTCAGAATATTTTTGTAGATCTAATTTCACTATGTAAATTTTTAGATGCATTATGAATAAAATGTAATGATAAAACTTACATACACTAGTAAAGGTTGTACTTTTCTATATTATTATTAAATATGACAAAAAGTGAAGCTAAAAATTTAAATAGCTACACTTTTTAAAATTTTATTATATAATAAAATATGTTACCTAAAGAAATATGATTAAAACTCAAATTTTTCATGGTGAAATAAAGAGTTGTTTAAATTTTCTTCAATAATTTGAGAATTTTTTAAAATATTATATCAAGATAAAAAGTAAAAATATTAATCAAAAGAAACCTCATTTTTTTAATAAATAAATATAGATTATCTAGAATATCGAATATGATAAATTACTTGCGGAATGTATAAAGGTAACAATTGACAAAGCAACAGAGGAGCTAGCAGAAATTAACCAAACTATTCCTTTACCTTTCACTAAAACATAAAACACATTGGTAAATGCAACTTTTACACCAACAGTCGTTAAATCACCGGCTTTTTTGGTAGGTCAAATTGAATTGATAGTTAGTGGCCACCTTTATCTGTCCCAAACGATATAGTTGCCCTT